TTGAATTTGTACAAAGCCAGTTAAAAACTGTGAGTTGTATCCTAAAAGAGAATCGTATGACTTGAAGGGTTCCACAGATCCATGGGAATTTTAATGAAGTAAATTAGGAAAATGGACAGAAACAAAATGGAAACAGAACCAAGCAAGTATGTGACCCTAGGAACAGTATCCATTCTGCCAAATACTGGAGTCATTTCCAGTGGTCACAGAAAGCAACCAGCTCTGCTCTGTTCCCTAGTGAAGCTCACTGTCAAGGCACAGAACATCTAGTTAGCAGCAGACACTGTACTCTCAAGTTGGGTCAAGGCTATGAGTCACCAACCGCAGAGCCAACAATCCTGAAGCTTAGCTGTTGAGAAATACAATGGCTACCTCCTTGGTTTTCTAATCCTTCTGGGATGATCTCAGAAAGAAGAGCAGCTATAAACCCAAATGACAAGTGTCTCTTGTAGAAGATGTCTTTTCCTTGAGTCAATGTTTAAAGACCAGATACTTAAACCAATACCTTTTCCCTCATATTTTATACAACTACATTCAAAATAAAATGTCCAAATCTATGAGTCTATGAATTGAACATGTGTTTTTATAACATTGTAAGCCTACTTATTTTATTAATGGTAAGAATTTTTCAAAATCAACATCTAAACCTATCTTTATGAAAGATTTGCTATCTTCAGATGAAATTGTTTTTGAGATATTATTTTAGTATCAGAGAAGTTAGAAAAATTAATTGAGTGTTTTTTTTTTTCTTTTGGTTTTTCAGGACAGGGTTTCTCCGTGTAATAGCTCTGGCTATCCTGGAACTTGCTTTGTAGACCAAGATGGCCTCAAACTCACAGAGATCTGCCTGCAACTGCCTCCTGAGATCTTTTGTACTAGTTTCCTTTAACTGACAACTTCACAAAGCCTAGAGTCACCTGAGAAGGGAGTCTCAATTGAAGGATGCTTCCAATCAGTTTGGCCTGTGGGTGTATCTGTGGGGGTGTGTGTTAATTGTTGGTTAATGTGGGAAGGCCCAGCCCATGTGGTCAGCACTTTCCCCAGGGCAGGTGGTATTGGGTTGAATAAGATAACTACATAAGACTGGGTGTGTGAGTGAATCAGCAAGCAGCTGTCCCTTTGTTTTTTGGCTGTGCTTTCTTGGCTGTGAGTGAGTTTCCTGGTGAGAGGTGATGCTGTGTGGAATACAAGCTGGCCTGCCTGAGTTTGCATCTGGAATTCTCACAATGGTGATAGTAACCTGTAATCTGAAACTTTTTCTTCTCTATGTTGTTTGTGGTCTTGTGGTTTGTCAAAGCAACACAAACTAGAAGAATCCTTATATTCAATATTCCCTTTGATGAATTAAGTCAACTTTTAAATGCAAGTAGTAATTTATTAAACTTTGCTGTGATGTTTCTATGTCAAAATATAATACAAGGTTCGATTAGTGCATAATATAAATAGACAAATTGATAATAATCTAGATTCAATTATAAAACCATCCTTCATCATGTTTGATAAAATTTTTATTCCTTAAACTTTCATAACTAATGCTGAGCAATGTGAGTGAGCTGATTATTGGATGGTGTCTTTTTAAATGACTCTTACAAAGGAAAGCATTTCATTGAGGGTAGCTTACAGTTTCAGAAGTTTAGTCCAATGCAGGGAGACATGGGGCAGAAGAAGGAGCTGAGCGTTCTACCTCTTGATCCATAGGCATCAGCAGAAGGAGACTGCCACATTAGACCAATAGACCTAGCTTGAGCATATGAGGCCTCAAAGCGCACCTTCATAGTGACACACTTCTTCCAACAAGGCCATACCTCCTAACAGTGCCACCCTCTATGGGTCAAGCATTCAAACACATGAGTCTATAGGGGCCATTCCTATTTAAACCCTCACAGATGGTACTTATATACCGTTCATTATAAGAATTCAGTTGGCATTTAATTTGAACATGTTTCAAAGCCCAAAGTTGTAATTATTTGTGCTGTGATTTTAGTCACACATGTGTTTGAGTGTATATACATGTACATATATATATGTATGTACATATGTGTATATATTCGTTTTTCTATCATACACTTAGTACACATTCAATTCAGAAATTTAGAAAATATAGATCAGAATGAAAGCTTATCAGTTGTCTCTTCAGAAATAGCCACTGTTGACATTTAGTGTATTGATTTCTAGTGCTTTTCTGTGACTATGTCTATGTGCATGTGTGCCTGGGGGAAGTTGTTACTGGACATTTCTTTTGTTTTTTTAAAAATTTATTTAGTGATTTGACTATGAGGTAAGAAAGTTGCCTTGGACTTTGAACACATTCAAAAGATACATTGTGCAGGCTAACCGTTGCATTTTAGAAGGTAATTTGTGGTAACCTTCTTTGGTGTAAGAATACAGGAAAGAAATGCATCCAGCTGCTTTCTGACAAGACTTGTCCTGGTTCATGGTGATGTGTGCTCTCTGGGCTATTGTTGTTGGAGGCCAAAATGCTTATTGTAATTCGGATGGCAAAGATGCTTACATTGTTTATTTTTGCAATTAAAATACATTTGTTTAGCAGGGTATGGTGATTCACACCTGTGATCACAACATTTGGGAGGCTGAATCATTGCCAATTAATTCTAGGCCAGCTTCAGCAACACAGTGAAAGTCTGCATCAGAGAGATAAAAACAAATAAACAAACAAGCCATCACCTGCTTAAGAAATATAAGCAGTATTTCCCAGCTGATTTTTATAAGTTCTGCTCTGTTGTCTAAAGGAGCTTGAGAGTCAGTTTTTTCTCTCTTTCCAGTTAGATATTTTAAAAGGAAGCTAGTGAGCAGAAAAACATGAGTCAAACCTTTGTGATATTCAAAGTTCTAAGGGAATAGTAAATTAAGCTCATTGAACTTAGGGAAATACTTAATGCTTTAGGCAATTTTTATATGGAATAAAAATCCTATCAAAGAGAGAATAGGACCACTTGTATCATGGTTCAAGATGAAACTAAAAATGTCTCTCTGCTCCAAATGGTTCCCCGTCATCGTTCTGTTAGACTGCATCATCTTCAAATGTCCCATTGTGTGGAAGGAAATTTTGACTGATATTTTGTTAATAATGAAAAAGTTAGCCTGTAGGGATGGTTTTGTGCTTAAAATAAGCAAAAGGACTGGAGTTCAGTTGTACAGAACCCACCGTCCTAGGAGGCTTTCGGGAAACTCCATCCATGCAAGGGGATCCCTGGTGGAAGCTGGCTAGTGAGACTAGGCCTGTCTGTGAGTAGTGTCTGATTAGGAGACCTACTTCAAAAAGAATAAGCTGGAGAGTGGTTGAAGAATATCCCTGATATCAAACTGTAGCTCACACACACACACACACACACACACACACACACACACACACACCTACGCATGTGCATGTATACTTTCATATGCATCCGCATGCATGCAAACATTACTACACACAAGAAAAAAAAGAATTGTTTTTACTAATTACGGCAACTGGAGTCTTGTCAATAGATTGCTGTGAATCTGAGTGGTGTAGGGTAGCTGCTGCTGGATGGAGACCTTGAAGCTTAGTTGACCTGGACAATATGAGTTCTTATAGAAACCCTAAAAGGCCAGTGAACACAGGAAGACAAATGTGACAAGAAAGCACACAGTTGCCTCTTCAAACTCACCCTGAATGTCTTGCTGGAATCACCTAGGGAGAGAGTTCCAGCAAAAAGTAATAACTGAAGTAAAATCACCTCTAATGCCTGGTGGGACTCTGGTTTTGGAAGGAGGAGGAATTTCAGATATGATCAGTAATACCATAGAACTCCTCAGAGTCTGAGCTATGTCCAACCCTCATTGCTGCTGTGGAACCCTAGAGATGGCAACCTCACAGCTCTCATGAACTCCATCATTGACAGTCACAATGGGGAACTTTGAATCTGTGTATTGTAGATGGAACTTCTTTCCCACCTGGTCCCGCCACCCTTCAGCCCCAAATAAACACCTTAGGACTTATTAATTAGAAATTGTTTGTCCGATGGCTCAGGCTTCTTATGGCTAGTTCTCTCTTAATTATTATCACATTTCTATTAAACTATGTATTGTCACTAGGCTGTGGCTTACCCCTATTACTCTAGCATGTTACTCTTTCATCGGCTACATGGCATCTGCCCTGCAGCTTCTCTCTGCCTTCCTCCTCCCAGAATTCTTCCTGCCTGGCTACTGGAACGTTACTTTAATAATTCCCAGGTCCACTGCCACTCTTTTACTCAGAGTTAATTGTTTACTTGGAACTCACTGTGCTATGTCTGCATTGTCAAGGGCATAGGTTCAATGGCCAGCAGTCATGTAGTACACTGTCTACCCTAGATCTCTCGAGATGTTGAGATTTACCATCTCATCCATTTTTTTTTTTCATGGCCTTGGGGATTTTAAGGAAAGACACACACACACACACACACACACACACACACACACACACACTATTTATAGACTGTGTATGGAATCACTTTATGTTCTGGAAGTGTTTACCTGGATTAGGACCCAATACATTTGATAGGATTCCTAGTTAAGGATGGAGACTATCGCACAAAGAGGGTGGTAAGTAGCACAGCCTGCATTAGCCTCCAGAGAGCGCTATTAAGCCCATGGCTCACCTGCCAAATGGTTAGTCACCTAATATTTTGATATTAAAATGTGCCAAAAGTTAGATGTCAAATACCTCCTCAAATGAAACCGAAACAAAATGGGTAGTTCAAAATTGAAAACATTTTAAATGGATAGCAAAATTAATGGAAAAGAACATTATACTTGTATGTTTGTAAAAGAACATAATCTATATTGACTAACACTAGGTCTTCAAGTGCAAGAAATAGATGGCTTCACACTCTTCAGTCTTTGTTGTTGTTTTTAAAGTCCTACTCATGCCCAACTTTATTATATAATTAATAGTACTTTTTCTATACCCTACCTAGTTTTTGGAGTTTCGGTTGTGAACCTTATCCTTTAATGTCTTTAATATCCTTTACCATTAGGTGCCTGAGCTATCTCTGTAAACAGGTTAACAATAATCAAGCAAACAATTGCCTTGTATCAGAGACTAGCTCAGCTTACGTTGGAAGTGAGTGAATCATCCTGTAATATTTCAAGATCACCCAGGGCATCTGGAGAAGAGATTGCCATGAGTCAGGAATGAGAGTGGGAAACAGGACTGAGAATGGGAAACACACAAATTCAAAAAACTTGTATCATAAAGGTAAGTGGTCTTTGGCTAAACAGAATCAGGTCTTGAATTTTGACGGGGACACCATGAAAAAGGCTGTTTCATGTCTCTTCAGGGAGATCCTAGCTTTTAAGGCCGCTGTGGGTGTGCTGGGGCTAACCCTCACCTGTTCTCAGGAAAGGTGATTATTCCCAGTTTCTCCAGTTCTGCATTTAGTGATATGTTTTCACTTGGAACTGGCCATGGTGGGTGTGTTCACACTGGTCAACATCATTGATGCAAACCAGGGCCCTTTCCTCTTCTCCAGAGGCAGTTGACAAACACCCACTCAACCCTGCTGCTTCATATGGGTGCAATACATGGGATTTAAAACATTCCTTCTGATATTTTCAAAGGAAACAGAGGGAAACACGGGCCATCCCCTTCGCCTTAGCATTTCTTATTTTATCTACAGACAAATTGGTGCTTTTTTTTTTTGTAAAAAAAAATCATTGACTTTTGGGTGTGTGCATCTGTGTGATTGAAAACCTCTCTGAGAAAGAATGGAATCAGGCCCAAGAACATGGCATTCAGTCCTGAATTCTGTAGCTGGACCATGTAAAACTTACATTCCCCCAGTCTTGGAGAGCTCCAGTGGAGTGCAGTCCTTACTGAGTTCCATTTTTTTCTCCTCCCTGGACATTGACAATGAAAAATTACTTCCTACCAAGTGTCCATTAGCCCTCAGTATTCGTGCTAATGAGCAGGCTACAATGAGGAGAGCAAATGGATGAGTCACAGGGACACTTAATGGATGCTTCCTGCTTGGTCACTGCGCAGGACTGTGCAGGCTGTGTTGGGTCCCGATCACTGCCTTGCACATTACTGAGAGAGCTGCTGATGGCATGGGGCACCCTGGAAATGACATACTGATTCGTCCCGGTGAAATTTTCTTCATTTATGCATACATGTATATATTCCAGTATGTGGCTCCATATCCATGTGGAAACATTCTTAAATGAATAACATCAAACTGCGAGTTCTTTTAAGGGGCCTGATCTTGAACGGAAAGCTAAACAAGTCAGATTGAGAGAGAGAGAGATTTCTTTTTCTGAATGTGAATGATAAATAAACATGCCATGGAGAGGTGGGTGAAAACACGGCCCAGGGGTGGGGAAGAGTACACATCGCGTGTAGGAGCCATGCTCTGTAGGGTTTGGTGTATTAGCTTTTGTTTTGTTTTTTTGTGCCTACTTAGTCATCGGTATTGCAAATGGGAGACAAGAGAAGTTTATGGCCCTAGGGCTTTGGGAGCAATGCCTAATATTGAATATTCTACTAGCAGCAGATGGAAGAAGAGCGATTTGTGATTGGCCTCTGGGAAGGGAGTGATATACTTTGTGTACATGGAGCACTAATGGGAACAAAGGGTAATTCCAAGTTCATGCAACTGAACAGTGTGTGCTGGTGCCTTAATGAACAGCGAACCTTTCACTTCGGGATGCTTTTATTTTTAAGACTGAATTGTGTCAGTCAGTAGGAGTGAGCATACTGAGGTGAAACTTTGTTTTACTGGGAACTGTGGTTGCACTAGAGTTGGTGTAATTTTTTTTCACATTTTACTAGATCCACAATGAAAGGATATGCAATATATAGCTAACTGAGCAAATTAAGCAAAAGAATAAAAATGAGGCTGAAAAAGAAAATATAGAGTCAAGCTCCTGAAGTCACATGGTTGATATTTCCTTTGCAGGAGGTAAGCTGGTATGTATAGTAGGATCCAAGCTTTTGGGTAGTCAGAGTAGAATATTATTTAGTTTCATAGGATGAAACCAAACCAGTTTCCTAGGATAAACATGGCTGTGTCACAGTGAGTGTTGAGGAAAAAACATTGAGTGAAAAGGTCAATAATGACTTAGAAGTTGGGGGAGGCTTTGAAGAGTAAGGATTTGATCCTGACTGACATCACCTTAACTAATTTTTAAAAGGGCATTACATTAAACATGTGACAATAAATGCTTTGGAATTAAATGTACTTACCAAAATTAAAATCAAACCAAGTAAGGATTAAAATACCTACCCAAATCAAGCCAAACAACAAAGAAAAAGGAAAAAAAACCCACTATCAGTCAAAATTGGAAACATTTCAAATTGGTATCTAAACTAATAGGAGACTTCTACTTGTATGTTAATAAAATGATACAATCTAAATGGAGCAGCAGCTAAAATTAGTCAATAGATAAAGATCAAGGTTTAGAACTAGGTCTCAGGAAGTTGTGACATTGAATCAGATCCCTCTCTACAGGGTGAACTTATTACCTAACCTCATATATAAATGAAAAGGGGCTATCTGTGGCATGGCCTTTTTTTTTTATCTCTGGCTATTGGGTTTGGAACAAGGAATAGAATAGAGATTCTTATAAGGTATAGTCCTAATAATGTGGACCACTTATAATCTGAAATCATGTTTTTGGTTATTATAGACTGTAACTTATGAAACACACTATCGTGTACAGGAATGCTTATATTTGGTGATTTGTTTTCAGCTTATTTCCCACTAAACTTTTTGCTTATTACTAATTTACAACAATCTCAAAGATGAAGCCAACCAAACATTCAGGGACACAAAGATAGGATTCAGTGCATCCTCACAGGGACTTTGAAAGGAGTAGACGTGGCAAGGAGAAAAGTAGGAAGGTGTAAATATTAACTATGAAGAGACAGGGATAAGAACATCTAGGCAAAGGAAAGATGAAAAAAGTTGAGTATGTATAAAAGAGTGGTGCAGCTTGAAGGAGAATGATCTAGAAGCATTGCGGCTTCATGGTCTCCACATGCACATAAAACATGAATTATCCCACTTGCCTTCAGACCTTGTGAGGCCAAGACTTTCTAAGGAAACTTGATTTGTGATGGTTTGGATTGGGTGTGATCGACCATCTTAAAGTTTACCTGGCCCTTTTCATAGAGCACATATGACTGTTATTACTGGAGATATAGATCTGCGGGAGGCATGTCATACCATTGATTAGTTCCTACAGATGTACTTTTTAGATGAAATGAACCTTGTCATGCTAAAATTAAGATATGAAGTCACTGGAACTAAAATTGCTTTTATTTCTAAAAAGAATATCACTTTTTAAAATTGAAGACATAACTTAGGGAGAGTAAAGCGGGATATTTTCCCCTCTAACCACCAAGTCTAATTGGGTTCTCTCACATTTTTACTTTTAATCCATTTTTAGAAATGATGATCAGATTGCATAAGTGGTTATGTAGATTTTGATTTTTAAGAATACATCAATCTGTTCAAAGTCCCGTTCTGAATTTCATTGATGACTTCCCTCCCTTCTGCTATATGCCTGGTATACTCTGAGACACTGAAGAGAAAAATGGATCTCAGCCTCAAATTTGCTCCAGATGTGCACCTTGGGAGTGGAACATGTGCACCAGAAGGTTAGAAACGGGGTAATTATTCATCTTGGAGCTTTACAGGAAGAGTAAGGTGCTCCCAACTATGTTCAAAATGGCTCAAGAGAGCTGAGAAAGTAGACTGGCTAGGGCTGTTGTGGTGTTTAGGGTTCCTGTGAGGACAGCACTTTAATTGGCTTGGCGTCCTTGACAGCACCTGGAGATGGAGCACCTGGGCTTTCCAGCTACTCTGCCAGGTTTAGTAAAGGCAAGGCAGAGTCGGCATTTTTTTCAAGCATCAGAAATGGAGTGTGATTCTTCATTATGATCCAAGCAAGCTTCCCCCTCTCTTTTATTTCTGCTCCTTCATTAATGAGGTTGGGCAAAAAATGAAATGGAATAGAAGAACAAACTCCTAAAACAAGTTCTTGTTCTGAACAAATGAGACAAATGATTATGTTAAAATGTTCGGACTCATTACTAAGCACTTGTGGTTGTCCTTTCCAGCTTTGTTACACTTCCCCTGATAAAGTGTGAAGTGTAACTCTAAAGTGTGAAGTGTAAGCCTCTGAGAGCTTTCAGGTCACACCCCCTTCCCAGTCTTGACAATCCAGGTATGGCCACGCACCATAGCCTTTACTTCTCTTGGAGCTTGTGAAGAATGCAGACTCCAAGGATTCTGCCCAGACCAACCGAACTGGAATCTCCATTTTACTAAGTTTCCCACAATGAAATTGTTCTTTAGCTCTGCAAAGTAGTTCCATATGGAAAGAGGTTTTCCTCACACATACCTGTTTGATCAAATTCAGCTTCAAAAATAAACCCACCCCAACTGGGTTCCTGATTCAGAAATGCAACTGGATTTTAATTTTTTCCCATCTGATGCCAAAACATATTTTTGACTAAAGTTTTCACTTTTCCATTCATTGTTTTAGTGTCATATAAATGTGGCTAGTACATAGCATGGCATTGATATTCTTGAAGTGAAATATTTTTTAAGTGTTCTTTTTCCTTGTCCAGACACTTTGGACATGATCTTAACAAAACATACAAAACAGAATCATATGTATGTGTGTGCTGGTTTAAGAGAGAAAACATTCTGTTCTGGTAAAGCATCCAAAAAAAAAAAAAAAAAGCAAATAGGATTAGATGCACATCTGATTTTAAAGAAATGCATTAACTTCTGTGAAGTTCCAAGGAATATTTCCAAAGTGGATACTAGTTTTCAAGCTACCTATGACTTGTTCAGGTGTGCAGGGTGGTTAGATGCCTTTAACAAGGCATGGTATCAAGAGCTTTAACCGTCTCTCTCAGCCTAAATATGGTACTAGCAATTTAGTGTCCAAATATATGTGACCATTGTTTGAGCTGTAGAAGTGAAACCTCAGTATAAAACCTTCACATTTTCTTAAATATGGTGGCATTAAATCCACTATTTTAATCTGAAGATGATGTAAAGTTTTCCACCTGCAGTGTTTTAGTCTCCTCATGTAGCAACCTTTCCTTCGAGTAATGCACCTTCAAAACTAACTCTGGTTTTGAATTGCTTACTTCCTTCTGGCTTCTTGAAGTCCTTCACACATTGGGTGCTTTTGTGGAGACCATCTCTTGTGCCTGCCCTTTCTTCCAATTTAGGTTGGTAA